TCAGCTCTTAGTTTAGATGAATAATTTTTCTTTCCTTAACAGTCTGTCACATAGTGATTTAAATGTAAAATTAACTAAAATAAAATTTCTTTTATCCGCTTTAGTAACAGACAAAGATCAAATTCTTTCATGAATATCTTGGTTAAATTCTCTGAGGCCCCATTTCTTTTCTTCCAGCGCACTAGACAGGATAATAGGTGTATAAATTCAACTTGGAAGTAATTGATATTAGTATTAAAAATTCCTGAATAAGACTTTAAAGAAAGAGTGTCTAGTCACATTATGAACACTTACACTTCCTCCCTTTCAACTTTTTTTATGTTAGCATCCTATGATCTTTGAAACACTTCCTTTGCTCAGAGCTACATCTCAAACACTTTTGACTTAGAGTTCGTAACATAAGGTCTTTTTTGCCATACATGAAAAATTGTTCTGAAATTAGGTACTTATTTAAAGAAGTTATGTTTGAGTGTTTTAAAGTGAAGGGCCTACATTTCCCAGCCACTTGAAGGATCATATACTCTTTCATGGTTTTTTCCCCTCTTAGTTTTTCTTCTGATTGCAACAATCCTTCATTTTTAGAAAACCACTTTGTATGTGTAGGGGCAGAAATGGGACTGTTCTTATTCTGTGCTATGACATTATGATTCGTGTACAGTTCTGGACACTTCTCACAGCAAGTGATATAATCTTGTGTTTAATTTGTTTTCCTCTCACTTTATTTGTGGGTTGGATTTTTTTCTCGTTTCTGTACAAGTTAATCAATATGATCTTCTCAAATTTTAGAATTATTTTCCAAGTTATATTCTATGTATAGGTACCTTTTAGAAATTCAAAATAGCCTTAATAAGCCATTAATCATTTGATAAGCTGCTCTGTCTTGTATATTTTTCTTTTAACTGCTTTTATTCAATTGTTCTGGTTTTTGATCTATAGGTGAAGTTCACAGTTTAATTATAGCATCGTTAACACTGATTATTGATTTTCAATGCTTGTACAATGTTTGTACAAAAAAGAAAAAAGCTTGTCTCTTAATTTACCATATCCTCACTGTCATGGCCTTTCTAGATTGAGAATGCTCCTTTTAGGGCATCTTTACTGCTGAGGACTCTTTTGGCCTGGAGATTTTGTGTTACATGAAGATTAAAATTGGATTATATTAAATGTAACTTTTTTAATTAGGAAGAGATTCAGATCTCTTTTGGTGAGATCTGAGCTGTTTGGAATAAATATGAGATACCAAGAATTGTTTCAAGTGACTGCAGACATTACAGATGAAGGAGAAACTCTCTGCATTTTATTTTTCTTTGAATAATGCAGAGTTTTCTAGACCTTTCTAGCACTGTCTTTGTTTATGCACAGTATTGCTAATAATACAAATGAGCAAAGTGTTCTGAAAATAGTTTCAAATAGTATTTAAATTAAAAAAAAGACTAGATACGATCTTATGAATAAAACCAGAATAAAACAGGAATCGATACATCTGATACTGAGCATTTTAAGAGTATTTTTGCTTCAGGTTGAACAGCCAAGCCCTAGTGATACCTGGTGTTCCCCACGGGAAAGCACAGCAGAAGCCTGGACCACAGCAGGCTCTGGTCAGTATGTTCTACCACATATCTCATTAATGCATTTGATTTCTGCAGTAGGTTGTTTCCTTTGGTGATTTTTTTATTATTTTGGTTTTTTATTTCTTATTAAAACAGTCTGTAATGGGGAAAAAGCTGATCATTCTTCCTAAGAATAGGAAGAATACTGATTAAACTGCTGCTTCAAAGTGTGCCTTCAAATAGCTGTTTACTCCTGAAATTAGAACATAGTTCTACCTGATATGAAAATAGAAGCAGAGAATATCAAAGCCCAGGCGAGTGCTCTGCTTCACTCCAGTTGTTTTGTTGAGTTGGATAGTGGAGCAAATCTGCACCAGAATTTGTGGGTGTGTTGATCAGGCTTGAAGTATTGATTATTTTGAAGTTCAAGGGCTCTGTTGCTTCAAAAATGAATAATGTTTATTTCAGCAGTATTTGTGTGTACTGGATCAGTGACTTACCATTATTAATGAGCATCCAGGATGTGCTCCAATACCTGCTTCAGCATTCTTAGGTATCAGTAAGCAAGAGTTTAATAAAAAGTGTGGGACCAGAAATTTAAGGAAGTACCCTAAAACTTGATTTTATTGCATGTGTCTGACAACATGAGGATTTTAATGAGTCTCATCAGTATTTGTTTATGTTGGTTCTGCCTCATTTTTATTGCATTTCCTCACTAATTATAAATTGTTATACAGCAAATCGTTATGAACTTGTTATTTTACATTTGCTTTTTGTCATAGCACTGGGGTTGGATTTTAAAGGTTTCACATTCCCTTTGGGGACATACTTACCAATCTGTGATGGCTGCTGGATAATGTAACAGACCACTGCATACCTAGGAAATGAGTTGTGATTTCTGGCCAGTGGTTAGGAGACTGAAATCTGCCTCAGGATTAATATCCAGAGGATTCACTGGTCACCTTCCTGGATCTTAAGGCTTAACTGTAACTTCTGAGCAAAAGAGATTCCTAGGATTAGAAATCTTAATACAGACATCTGAGTTTAGTCCTTTTTTTGCTCTTCCTGTGTCACTGTGTGAGGGTTGTTCAGTACAAACTGATACAACAGATCAAGAAGGCAGATATAATTTCATGTCAGTCCCTCAGGGATAGGTCCCATACTGACACTGGTGAAAATCCTAACCAGGTCCAGTGTGGACCTAAGAGTTTCTCCATGTATGTTTCCATGGACTTAGTACTTGTGTCAGTGGTGAGGGAAGGAATGCAGAGGTGATAGAAGGAGGAAGAGATGGTCATAAGGAAGTTCAGAGAAGATGAACAAGGTAGTGTAATGTCCATGAGAGTTTTGGGGAATGGTAGAGCTTGATTTGATATTGATTTAGGCAATGAATAGCGTAACAAAATATGCCACTTCTGTCTGTGCAGAAGATGGTGCATACACTGATTCATTATTATAAACACTGTATTCCATTAAATGTGAAGTCATGCTTTTCAGCTAAAGAAGCTGATTTCCTGAAATGTACTGAGGAGACTCTTTAAAATTTCACAATGTATGATAGTAATAAATTGCTTTAGTTCTGTTTGGGAGGAGAGGTAAGATGCTTTGTAAAAGATTTCATAAAATTTAGGACATTCCAATTTCTTTTTAATTTCTTCCAGCATGCACCTTTTTTCTTTCTCCAGATCCTTCTCTTCTTGGCAGCTACACACCCAAGGAAGCTGGAGTGAGTACTTTGAAGTGCTATTGCTTGCACATTGTGTTTTGGGAAGCTCTAAGATTCCAAATCCTTCTTGGTTTGTCTTGCATAGGTGTTTTTGAAACTTCAGCTATTGTAGTATCAAAAGCAAAAAAAAGGACATTTTAAATCTGATCCAGCCCAGTTAAGGCCTGCTGACAGGTTATTTACAAACAGAAAAGGGAAGCTTAGCACTCTGTAATGATGCTCATACCTGCTAATACAGAACTTGCTTTTCCTTGGCATTAAAGCTTGCAACAAGGGCATAGAGGAGCCTTTAAAGGCAGTTTGAGTTTGTCTTCCCAGTCATCTCAGAGCATTCTTCATTCTGGCATTGTATGGAAAGGTAGCACTGGTACAACTGGCAAGCCACTGTTCTGTTATTTCACACCCTTTCTTTTTCAGATTTTAGCTTGTTTGTGTGTTAGAAGGATCTGGATATTAATGTCAGGGTTCTTTTGGTGTTTCGTACATTTTATTCATTACTTCCTCATTTAGTTGTTTTTCTGCCTGTGTTCCTGAATTACTGTAGAAAGTGTGGGTTTAGGCACTTAATTTTTTGTGCCCTCTTCGATTTCCTAATGGCTGGGAAAACTGATGGTAACAGGGAGGAGGAAAGAAGGGGAATTATCAGGATAAACCTTGATCTATGTTAAGCATACTTTTGGCAGATTCTAAACTTTTATTACCAAGGATTGCAGTTTTGTGTACCATGTGAGTCTAATATATTGTGCCACCTCTGGGTTGTTCCATGGCTGTAAATGAGAAACTGTAAAGAAGATAGAGAATTTCTACTAAATATGCCAAAACCTCTGTCCTTTTTTCCTTTTTTTTTTAAATTTATTTTAAGGTGGTATCATTTGCCCCATCCCTCTGCCCAGCCACCCCCCCCCCCTTTGTCCCTCAATGGGAAAGCAGATTTTAGGAGCAGTCATTGAAGAATGCAGAAAATAGATGAGCTACAGGTTCATTCATCATGTTCTTGATGCCACTAATCACTTATGAAAATGAGGTTTGAAGAGAATGTATCTTTTTCTTGACAGAAATATAATACAGCTTTGTTTAAGAGGAGCTGTTTCCCAAAAGTGAGAGAAAAAAAAGCCCCACAACCTGGAAAGAGCTAATGAATAACCTGGTCTGGATTTGGGTTTTTTTTCCTCAGCTTTGGAAAATGTCTCATGTGAAAGTCCCCATGCCAGGGAAAAGGGGGTAACCCATGGCAACATTTTAGTGGTGTGTTTCTGGTTAAGAGGAGCTGTAAAGAAGTAACTAGTGTAGTGAAGAGTGGGTAGAAGATGAATAGATGGTCCTGAGTTTTCCCTTGAGGAACAGCAAGTCAAGAGGGGGGGGAAAAAAAAGGTCTTAAGAACAACAGATCCCAGACTAAGGAGAAGTCTAAGGTTTGGGTTGTTTAGACTCTCAGGCAATCTGAATCTGTGAGATTCCTGGGAAGGGTAAGACTTTAAAATATGCAGTCAGAAAAAGTGCTAAAAAAGCTGTTACAGTAGACTTTGTTATAAGATGGTGTGTTAGATACCAGCAGATTCCCCTGACACTTGTTGATTTACTTTAGACTAGGCCTCAAATGAGGGTCCTTGTTCTTTCCCCAGCAGACAGGTATTGCTGAATGTATATGCAACTTTTAACCTTTTGGTTTGAGAAATAAAACCACGAAAACTGTACATCTTGATATTCACAATAAATTTTAGTTTGGTGTGGTATTTTTCAGGCAAAATCTGCTCGTGAAAAAGACTTGGACAGTTCTGTTGTTTGCAATGAGGATGTGATCTCAGATCTACCCAACAGATTGTCCCATTCTGCTGGTTCA